AAGTTCATCAAATACACATCTGGTTATTTACTCTTTTCCCGGGTTATTTATAGTCTCGATACTAAAAATTAATCACTTTTCTTCCTTTAACATTATTAATCTATGAAAATGCGCCATTTGAATACACATTATTATTTTAGGACATTTTAATCTAGGCTACTTTGTCTAAGCTAATATATTTCTTGTTACTAAATTTCTTTATTCAGTTAATATTTGCGCATGTCAGTTTTGTTTCCGTTTTACTTTCTCTATTTTGTTTCACTCGCTTTGTGTTTGTTTATATTGACCACTATTAGACAGGCGGCATTGTTGTCCAAATATATTTTTCCTTCGCGAACGAATTTGTCTATTTATCTCTTGTTGTATTTCAAAAATACGTGTTTATTCAACAAGTGGCTTTTTTCGAGAATGTTTATATTGTATTCATTTTCCACACTCGGAGTGCTACTTCCGCCGGAGACTTGTTTTTCAGAACCCTTCAGGAAGTGAGTAGACGAAGAGGTTAGATATTTATTTTTAAAATCAAGTACTCTTATTATTATCCAGGATTTCTTTAAGAGACAAAAAATGAGAAGAAAGCTTACAATTTGCGATTATATCTAAATTCCGAATTGTACGTGGATATATTTATCCATAGTTTCAAGAACTTTTATGACCCTGTATTTGAATATTTATTTTATTTATATCAAATGACAGGCTTTATGATAGTTATCATTAGCCCTCTGGTTGACTTCAGGCTTCACAGAGGGAGAGGAACATCAAATCGAAAAAAGTCGAGGGTGGGGGGGGGGAATGGAAGAGTGTTTTAAAGATGTAAAAGAGACAGACACAAAGGTAGATGAAAGGTGAGGTGAGTACCGTGAAAGTAGTCGAATATGACATACAGTGGGGTTATGTTAGCTTGAACTCAGAAGTCAACTGCCGGTTAATAGACTTTTTGCCGTATGAGTATACGTTGCCCAGGGTGGACTACGTGGAGACTTATTTTTCAGAATCCTTCAGGAAATGAGTAGACGAAGAGGTCAGATATTTATTTTTAAAATCAAGTATTTTAATTATTATTCAGCGTTTTTTTAAAAGACGAAAAAATGGGAAGAAAGTTTACAACTTGAGATTTTAACATAATTCCGAATTGTGCGTGGATATATTTATCCATAGTTTCAAGACCTTTCATGACCCTGTTTTTGAATATGGTTTTGAGTGTTGTAGGACGTCTCTTCCGTTGGTCTGGGTGTTTACTTCCACAATGCTCCCTCACTTGAACAACTAATTTACGAACAGTAGAGCTTTTTCTAAATTTTAGTTCTTAAAATTCCGAAAATATTCAGGGAGTTTTGCTTTTCCATTATTCTCTAGAATAAGGGTTGCTTTTTTGAAGCAGCTCTGGTTTATTGACTCTCTACCTGTGAACTCAAACCTCGGAGTCAATGAATATAAGTTGAACGCAAATCGGTTCGTCATTAGAAATTCGCTTTTACTTTCATCTTGGCCTCTGTATAACAACTTAATTAGCATATTGTGAGCACACGGACTGATTTAGTCGACTGTTTTGCATAAAATGTCGTTTCTGATAGTTCAAAACTCTGTTCTGCTTCGCCCTATTCGCTCTCTTGTACCTTTTAAAAAGCTCGACTAACGGTAATAACAGCAAGAAGTTACCAAAAAGCTAGGCTTTTTAGTAATTTTTGTGGGCGCTATTTTCCCTCCCTTCATATTTGCAACCCGCTGACTAATTTTGGGAATATTTTGGGCGTTAAGTATGCATTCCTTTTGAATTTATGCGTCCTGAATTGTCATTGGTCAGTTTTTAATCGTGTTCATCACAAAGCAAATTATGCCACTTCAAATCTAGTTGGAAATGTTATGATATTCCAATGGGAGTGGAATTTTAATCTAAATAGAAAACAAAATTAGAGCACCTAAAAGTCCTTTATTTGAATTCATATGGTTTTACGATATTTAATTATCATTTCGTATTCTAATGGTTAAAATTTCAAACAACCGAATTGGAGGCCTGGGACTAATCTCTAAATACAGCAATCGAGGCACAGTTAGCTCCACGGATCGTGTAATGTTTCGTCTCCCTTGAGCCTTTGAAGCATAATCTTCCTTTTAAGGACTATTTAACTGCATTTGACAGCTACTTGAATGATTTATCTGGAAGATTAACTTATCTGACACTAATCTTCTCATTAGAAACTCATTGTGCCTGATTTCTTACGCCAACCGCCAAGTGAATTTCGCATTTAAATTTACAGTATAAAATTTTCAATCTTGTGTTAAAGTTAAATTGATCACCCATGACCACCGGGTATAAATTATTTAGTATTTTCTGATTGATCTCATCTATTAAGAGAGTGGTGGTGTATTTGAAAAAAAATAATTTGGTTTATTTTTCATTTCATTCTCAATTAAAGTCGTTGGTTGCAATTTTGCTGCCCGGAAATGGGGAGATTAACTCTGTGTTTAAGAGAAAACCAATTTTATTATCGAATGTATGAACGTGTGCCATTATTTTGGCTGTAATTGTGTTAATACGTATTTGTCCATTCATGTTCGGAAATAAAGTGAAAAAATCGACCATATATAACTTTAGTATATGAAGGCTAGCTAGCCTTTGCATGTTTTTGCTCAATCCAAATTCTACATAGCCTTGAAATATAAGAACTTTTTAGCGAAGATTGGGAATTTGGGTCAAATTTGAGAGCATCTTGCTAAACTCAAACAGTTTGACAAAATTTGGTCCAATATTTGAAGAAAAATGTCTTATGAAAGACAGTATCGACAGTTCTACTTAGCGAAAACCTAAACGTTACTTCCTAATTGACCATGCGAAGTCAGTTACAAGTTTCGAGCGAAAATGTTGGGAAGAATAGCTTAGTGTTGAATGCATACCTTTTTGACCATGGTTTGGAGGTCTTTGTCGTATTCACTTTCCAGCCAATTCGCAGAAATGCGTGACAATTGAAATAATAGCATTCTGCTCTCTTGTGGTTGTTACACTCAATGTATTTACTCATGGTCCAAAAAGGGACTTAAGTGAATATCGCTTTGATGTTCATTTTAGAACGTATTCACCTGGAGACCCATGTCGTATGGAAGTGCTCCCAATATTTGCTTCATTAATCTCCCAAGAATAAATAGCTTTCACCCCCCTGACACCGCTTATATTAGTGCTCCGTTTTTTATCTTACCAATGGCTTATTTAGCTGCACCTTATTGCAATTTCAATGAAGTAATGAATTTTTTACTTCAATTTACGGCTCAATAATTTTGAAACGCCGATGGTTTTATTTTCAATTAAGTTGATTGATGCTGATGCCAAAACTGTGACAAACTACAATTTAATATTTTAATTACTTTCTATTTTGGAAATCGAAATGGGTTAAAAAATTTATATCTCCTAAAATTTCTTGCATTTGTAAACTGTCGGAAAAGCGTGCTAATACATTTTTTTCAGTTTTTTATACGGAACTGGATGTAATTAATATCAGTTATAATCTAACTGGTTCATTATTGTAATGTTCCGAAATATAGTTTAATTAAAATTATTATTACTTTGCTGCTTCTCCTTCATTAAATCTCAAGGAAAGTCGCTTTACAAACTTTTTTAAACATGATAGAATTGGCATAAACGTCGTGCTAGCAAAATTTAGAAGTAAACCGAACTTCTTGTTTCAATAGTGTTTGGGCACGAGAGTTGAAATGAAAATATCATTGGCTAGCTACAACGCTGTTCAGTTTATTTTCATCATGGCTTAGGCTCCCGTATACGTATTATGAAAATACAGATGGCGGATTTATGCTGGACCTTTGCTGAGTCACTCTTAATTAAAACACAAAGCACAAATTAACCAGTTACAGATTTCCGTAGTAAAACTAAGAAAGCACCGGGATAAGGAATTAGGTGATGATTTATTTATATCAAGTGACAGGCGTTTTGATAGTTATCATTAGCCCTTAAGTTGACTTCATGCTTCACAGAGGGGAAGGAACATCAAATCGAAAAAAGTCGAGGGTGGGGGGGGGGAACGGAAGAGTGTTTTAAAGATGTAAAAGAGACAGACACAAAGGTAGATGAAAGGTGAGGTGAGTACTGTGAAATTAATCGAATATGACATACAGTGGGGCCATGATAGCTTGAACTCAGAAGTCAACTTCCGGTTAATAGACTTTTTTACCGTATGAGTATTCATTGCCCAGGGTGCACCACGTGGAGGTAAGTCCTATCGCACACCCCGAATTAGGTGATAATTAAACCGCAGTATCAAAATTCATACATTACGCTAATTCTGAAGGCGTTGTGATGTCTGTATTTTCAAGTAAATGGCAGCTCATCGGTTGCCTTTTGGATGTGACTGTGTCCAAGATATTCACAGCCTATTGAGTGGTTGATTTAATTTTCTGACTGGTCCTGCCATTTTGATTTTTTAATCTCATATTGCACCCAAAGTAAGGAGTTGGCACTAACAACAACTGTACTTCTTATGTTTGAAAATTTTAGATTTTATTCAGGTGAAACTTTTCACTTCAGCTTCAGAGTATTTACTGTTAGTCGATAACTTAACGGATGCATAACGACGGCTAGATGCTTTACTTCATTTCAACTTGTGATAAAAGGAGAATTTTAATTTGGTGATTTAAATTACGTTGTGTAGTAGTTATAGTTTAATAAACCTAGTAATTTGTGTGTAGAAAAATTGGATAGCTTTCCTATTTAAAAGTGGCGACAACTATCTGCAAATATGGCTTTTTTTGTGTTTTTGAGTACTTACAAATTTATTGAGCGATAAGCATCATTGGTAAAATTGATCGATATGTAGATCTCAATATTCAGTAGATATTCTACACGTGTGAAGTCCTTTTGCAATTGGAATAAAATGTTTAATATTTCTTTTTATAAGATTTCAATTTGAACTTTGAATTGAACGAAACTTAACCAAAACTGATTACTTTCAGGTTGATTCAGTATTCATTTCGTATTCTATCTTCCTACCATCTGAATTCGAGAGTTCTCGAAGAAATTGTCGAATTGATTACTTGGTGTTCGATTATATTTTGGCACTATATAGATGTTGAAAAGTACTTTCCACGTTTTTTGCTGTGTTTACTAACAATTCACTTGCAATAAAAACTAATTATCGCCTTATTCCATGTAGCCTAATGAATTAGTCCACTTCGACGCTATTCGGGCACCTCTTCGATCACGAGCAAAGTGGCGTGCAACTCGAGTTTGGAAGTCCGATGACAATGACATTCTTCAACACCTTCTTGCTTTTCCATCCTCCAAAATGTCTAGTCAACAAACACTCTACCAATGCGCAGTTGGTAGTCCAAGTAACGGCAGTCATTTGGGCTGTGTTGGCAGTGGTGAATCAGGGTTCGTCTCTTCATGCGGACCGCGTTGTCTCCCCTTCCTTGCGCCTCCATCTCGATGTAAATCCAAATCCAGTGTCGACTCGGCGCCATCCTCGAACCTCCGCGGTTCTGCCTCTTCAGCCACCATGAGGCAACGTCGTTGTCGTTCTCTTGATCGTTTAGATCTTGAAATGCCAAATCATCTTCATCGAGACACCGATTTTCTGCCTAACGAGGACTATTCTGGATACTATCTTAGTGATGAAGATGAATTAAATCTTGAACTGGATCCTTCAAAAAGTGGAAACGACGATATTCTCTCATTTTTAGCTTTTGATACGCTTAAAAGACCCATTAAACTTCTTCACAACACTGGAGGTATGCTACCAGATCTGGAATTTCCTGACTCAGACATCAGTTCCTGGGCTCAAGGTGATTTGGAGAGTATGTCAGTGGCCAATGGTCATCCAGATAAGTCGACGTGTAATGCTTCAACACAGACCTGGTTTACGGGTGTGATAACTTCAGCAGAATTCTATCATGGTCCAACCTGTACGCATGAACAACTTCAAGTAGTGAAGGAATAGTATTGGTGGCGACACATTACTGCCATTTCACACTCCTGTCTTGCTTATATTTCTGCTTGCTTTGTTCTCTTCTACTTCAAGTTCAGCTCTTTTTTGGTTATTTCTCATTTCTCCATACCATCCTGCGAATCATTATTACGCTGCAGGTAAAACTCCACAATAAACAGTGCAAAATGACTTGAAAACAAGGTTGTAATTTAGCCGACGATTATTTGAAAAAAGGATGATAATTTAAAAAAAGTGCCTTGATGTTCGCTCAATTTGTTTGTATCCCATCAGTCAAGCAGTGTGTATCCACAATTATATGTTACAATCTAACAATGCTAAGTAAAAAGCGATAAATAGCGAGAACTTGAGTGGATTGCTCTATTTCCATCCGATGGGTATTGAATGCCTTCTTGTATTCCGATGGTGCAGTGAGTGACGTGTTTGTACAAGATCAAGGGTTCAGTGTCAATCGGTGTTCGCCCAGGGAATATCGAGTTGCAAATTCGAAATGTCCGCCGACATAGAAATAATACATTTTTCTTTTCGAGTAGTCAGTACTGGCTGTCTTCCAGTGATATAGATTTCGGCACTTGCCAGAAACTGTCTAACCCTTTACGGACGTGGAGCGGCTATGCCTAGCTAATCAATGAAAATAATTAGGGTAAGGAAGTCAGTGGGGTTCAGTCCCACGTTAATATTTATCTCAAATGGCAGGCGCTTTGATAGTTATCATTAGCCCTTTAGCTAACTTCGGGCTTCACAGAGAGGAAGAGGAACATCAAAGTGACAAAGTCGAGAAGGGTACAGAATAAGGATCATATATGTAAAAGAGGCAGAGAAAAGGCAAGATGAGTACTGTGAAAGGGGTCGAGTATGACATACAGTGGGATCGTGGCAGTTTTAAGTTAACTGGCGGTTCATAGCCTTTTTTGCCGTATGTGTTTACATTGCCCAGGGAGCACCACGTGGAGGTAAGTCTATCGCGCACCCCGTCCCACACTAATATAGAAATTAGTACAATTAGAATAGCGGGGAGGTGACTAAGGAATAGCATGAATTTATATCAAACGGTAGACTTTATGAAAGTTATCATTAACAAATTAGTTGACTTCGAACTTCATAGAGGGGAGAAGCTTCAAAGTCACAAAAGGTCGGGAGGGGGGGAGGGGGAACAGAAGAGTGGTTCATAGATGCAAAAGAGGCAGACACATAGGAATAGAAAAATGCGGAGTGAGGTGAGTACTGAGGAAGTGGTGGAATACGTCATAGAGTGAGATCATGGTAGTTTAAATCAAATGCCAGTTTATAGACTTCCATGCTATATGAGTATACGTTGTCCAGGGTGGACCTCAATGAGGAAAGGAATGGCACGAATTTGATGCATTGATGCCCGGTGAACATACGTGTGTATTCATACAACACTGTCACTCATGTCCAGTCAGTGATGTCTAGGTATGAACATTTGGCTTGAATTGGAATTTGAAGTTAGTCCCTAAATAGGGTTCTGAGGTCACCTCCTGAATGCTATTTCTAAGAGGTTGGAGGGGATCACAGTTAAGTGACTTTTTTACCATTCAATTTTATTATAAGAATAAATAGGTCCTAACTCGAACCAAAGTTTAATGTTCCCGTAGATGAACAGTCAACATATTAACGAAAATTTATTCAATTGCGTTCTCACAGATTGTGTGGACAAGCCCAAGCTTGAATGGTCAGATCCCGTCTATTTAGATGAATTTCCGCGTTATTTTCTGACTTCCTTTACATGGAACAAAGTATATTCCTCACCGCATATTCCTCGAGTAGATATATCTTGAACGATTACTAACTGGAGAAAAACTGTCAATATGCCGATGTAGCTCTAAAAAGTTTTCTATTATCTATTCCAAATGCTCACAATTTTCGAAGTTTTAATTAAAGAACTGAAACATATCCAAGCTCTTTGTTTTACTTCCTAATCAAATTTTCGGCCTAATTATCTCATTAGTCTTTGACCATTAACTAATTTCGTATGCAAATTTAACTGTTTATGGCCATGATAATAAAATTAATGAATTTACTCAATGGCCCACCAAATCGCTCTCCAGAAATAATGTACACATTATCAAGGATAGTGATTATGGAGGTTGTAAGCCGAAATCTTTAACCTATTGTGTAATAATTAAAATTAGCCATCCAGGGAATTCTATGAAGTCCACTTCAGTTAGAGAGAGAGAGTGTGTGTGTGTAGCGGTCATTGTGGAAATGGCAGTTATATGATTAGTCATTCAGACCGAAATTTTGGAGCTGATCTTTTTAAATTTGATATAGTAACATGATCAGAATGCATCTTAGATCAATAAAGTTGTCAGTATAGGAAGACAGGCAAGTGTCGATGAAAACGTTTGGCCCAGGATACGATTGTTTACCAATTGTTTTGCTAAAAAGTGCCTGATCTTTTATAATCTGAAGTGTTCTTTTGGCTAGAATTTACTGAAAATTACTATTGAAGATTCATAAAAGGATGTCAGTGAGCAGTACCAGGCTTCATCGCGGATAGAAAGAAATGCGAGTACAGTGGTTACGTTCCAATTAAAACTAGGTTGATAGAATCTATGATTGAAGCTCTGTTTCAGCCATATTTTTATGCCCAGTTTGAGTCGCAGATGAACAGTTTCCACTTTTGTTTAGATTCATAAGTAATGCTTGTTTCATATGAGAGGAATGGGAGTCTAACTGGTTTCTTTTTTATTTATTCAAAGTTCGTGCTCGTCTGAAAGTGTTCAATTGTCGTTGATCTTCCAGTTATGTAAGCAAAGAAAACGCCGTTCCATGGTCAAACCCCAACAACAACCGAAGTAAAAACAACGACTTTCAACAATGGAGACACAAAACAACTATCTATTAATTAAATGACTGAATAAATATAAGTTAGAATGAAATAAGAGTCTTGAAAATTTTAGTTAGATCAGAGGGAGGTACACAAATTTTGGGTCAAAACATGTCACAACGTCTACCACAATACTACCTATCAATTAAAACAAAAATTTGCTAAATACATTAAGGAAACAATATCCTGGAACGGCTCTGGGAAATCTAATGTAAGTGCCAATGACCACAACAAACCAATGAGGTTAATCATCATGGTAATTGAGTATGTACTGATGGACACTTGTCTTATGAGTTCTGACTTGTCGATAAGCATGTCGACAGCTTCATCGAGAAATTATCTGTAAGCTTTTGAACCCGAACAAACTACTTGAAATTGTAGCCACACTCTACTCAAATACGTACCTAAATAAATATGAAATCGATTATCTAGATATTGTTATTTATTAGTCATAATTTCGACTTGTTAGTCATCATCTTTGAGACATTTGTATCCAGCCTCTTCGTTTGGGATATCATGTGTTATCCATGTCTGTAGAAACCCCGTGACATATAAAACGGCTCTTTTTTGCCTCAATTGATATGACATTCAACTATTTTAGAGCATATTGGCTATGGGGTATAACTAGACTGGCAACTTATTAGCATGAGGTGATTATATTCTAAACCATTCAAGGTTTAACGATTAATGGTTTAGCATTAAAAGAACCTTGAAAGCATTCAAATTCTATATTCATGGGCCAGGAAAGTATTCAAAAGTGCCTGAAAGTGTCCACTTGAAATTACAAATCAGATGACTCTAACGATATTGAAAAGTCTCTAAGAGAGTTTAACACCACACGAACAGGAAACCTAGATACACTATGAAGCCCCATTTCAATGCAAAGACCTAGAGGAACAGACTATTATATCTGAGTTTACTTAACTAAATTAAAACAAATGAGCAAATTTTGACTATCAAATGTCTCAAATTGCCCTGCTTTTGATAGTTTCCTTTAGCTAGACTCCATTTCCCTGGAAATGATAAAGTCCATATTCAATGACCTGTTAGATCTATTTGTAAAAGAGAGGCCTTTAATCATTCGCGGGCTATAAAGGCTCTCCATGATGTCGCAACAGTAATAAGCACTTAACTAAATTCGAAACCCTAAATTAAGTTAGTAATTAGTGAGTTTCTGAGTTTTTCGGTGGAATCCGAACCTCACAAAAAAGGAATATTAAATCGAATGAACATTCAGGGATAAGTGAACATTCAAAGGCAATAAATTTGTTCTAAATATTTTTAGCATGCGATAAATAAGTAAATGTTGCTGATTGTCGAAACGGATTTTCGCTTCGCAATTTCCATCACGTTGACAAACTAAACTTGCCTTCCCTAAGCTGAGAGTGATGACCTTGAGGCTTGTTGTTTAATGGCTGGCTGGCTGGCTGGATAGATCTTCGACGGCCTACTGAATATTGCGTACACGTTTTGAGAGAAGTTTATTGAGAAAAAAGTAAAAAATAAGCCAAAATAAGCTGTTTTCTGTAAAGAAAATTTCAACTTGCACACTTCGGCAAGGGGAGACTTTAATCTCTTCAGTAATCTTGAAATTGAAAAAAAATATTGGACAACTTTATGTCTACTTTTGGTGCAGTGGTGAACATGTCGGTCCCCCCAGAGGTCAAGATCAATTCTCGCATTGCTAATTAAATCCAACAAGAAACGTAGCTGAATGTAGGTCTCCCATGACGGGAGGAAGTGATATTCATGGCATATCGGGAAGAGTGTTTAGGAAATTTTAAGTATTGTAACTTTATGTCTATCTCAAAAATCTTGGCTTTCCTATACCTTCTTTATCAAATTGACTAAATCCATTAAAGATCTTTCTGTTCTTTCAACATTTATATTAAATGGCAGGCTTTATGATAGTTACCATAAGCCCTTTAGTTGATTTCTGACTTCACAGAGTGGAGGAACAGAAGAGTGATTCGCAGATGTAAAAGTGACAGGCAGACACAAAAGTAGAGGAAAAGGTAAGGTGAGTACTGTGAATGAGGTGGAATATGGCATAAAGTGGGGTCATGGTAGTTTGGAGTCAGAATTCAACTGCCTGTATATAGACTTTTTTGTCGTATGAGTATACTTTACCCAGAATGCACCA